GGGGGGGGGGGGTGGGGAACAGGGCTTGAACAAAATATTAAGCGTGGCCAAATCTATTTAAATTACAAAGACTCATTTGTAATTTCTTTTTAATTAATAAACACTATCGGGGAGAATGTTTCGGCACCTTTCAGCTGGCTGCCCCTTGCAAAGGCGTACAGCTTATCCTGAGCTATTGTGAATGATACTGGCGCTCCAACAAAGAACGAAAGAAAGATTGGGGGGGAGGGAGGAACATGTTGGAAACCGATTTCTGAGCTAGAAAAGAAGCTTGTGTGCCTGGGTCACAAAGAAAGCCCAAAACCTTGTGCTACAGTATGTCCAGGCTTTTGTTTGCTCCAAGCCATAACATCTGCTCCCCATAATTTAAATAAGGAATAGACAGACCATCAGACATTCAAAAAAAACCCAAAACCTATGAGACCAAAACAAATCCAGCACAACCGCAATATCAGAGTCTGTTCCTGCAAGTGTATTTAGCTCAGAGAAGTCACAGTTTCAATCAATAAAACGCAGAAGGCAGCTTTCAGTGTAGAAAGGAAAAAACAGATGAAAGACCCTCTTTAAGGACAGCAATCCTCGCAGGACAGACAGACATAAAAGCACACCTGGGGAACACACACACACTTACTACCGCCACATTTTCCCTTCAGAAGCAAACTGCTATCGTGAGAACGCAACGTATGCGACCAAACTCTCCAGAAATGAACAGGTAACGTCTGCCTCAAAGCTGCCTTCGAGGACGAGACTGTACGGTCCCTCGTGAAGAGCCCGGCAAGTTTCGATACACTTTTCCAAAAAAATAATACAAACGTAGGTTTAGGATGTTGAATGTCAATATAACTTACAAAAAAACCCCCACCACACCACCATTTTAGTTATGTATAAATGAAAGTAGTTATTCTCTAAAAAACCATCATCGTTTATAGAAGTTAGATATTCAAACAACATTGCTTAAGTGTTCACGTATGAGCATACGCCGGGCGATTCAAAAATCAAAATCCATTTGCCTTCAGTGTTTCTGCTCCTCAAAAAGGAAGGCAGGTGAGCACCAGCTCCATTTCCTGCTACTTCTGTGTCTTCCAATAGCCCCAAGCATTCTGCCTTCCTGCCTCCTTTTCTCCGTAATACAGTTATTTGGCAACTTTGAACTCTTACTACCACCGCAATTTTGGCAGCAACTCCCTAAAGGAAAAAAAAGAGCATACCAACGTAGCAGTGTTATTCAAGATTCTCTAGGTATCTAGCCAGACATCAAAAAAACCCCAACCTATAGATTCTTTACGTACACACAACCAAAAACACTTCTTCAAATAAGCAGCATTGTTTTCTCCAAATCTGCACACAGGTAACATTATGAAAAGTATGAAAAGCACATCAAAACATTTTCCGGCTTACAGAAGACTATTAAGCCAAAAAAAAAAAATAGCCTTAAGTTGTAGAATCTATGAGGGAAAATAGGGGCCGTGTTAAATGGGAGCAAAGCTGATGACTGAATGTGGGGATTTTTGGGGAAAGCTGAGGCCAGAAAAGACACCAACACACCTGTTTTTTCCTTGATCTCACACAGCACGCTGAAAAGAGCAGGCTTCATTCTGTGGCAGTTCAAGGCATGTTTTCTGAAATGAGAGAAGAAAGAATGAGTGAAGGCTGACAGGAAAGGCGGTGAAAGATGCCAAGACTTACAGAGAACTGGATCACGCTTCAGTAATATCAGGTCAGTGCATAAGATTAAGAAATGTGGAAGTTCTGGTGATATATTTCATTTAAGTGCCACATTCGGTCATTGCTAGGAGCAAACTGTTGTAAAAACAGGCAGGCCTTAAAATTCAAAATTCCGCGTCGTTTGTAGGAACTGTAAGCGCCTTCCATTCTACCAAAAGCGTATTTGATATGTGGGGGTAATAAACAGTTCCTTCTTGAGTTAGTACGCTTCTGTAAAATCTAATAATGGAATCCATCCAAAAGGTAGAAAAAAACCCCGGTGTTTTTAGAGTTTATAGATCTTGAACAGTAGGAACAACATAGCACCACTCTCTGACTCGCCCAGCTTCCACAACGAGCAGCCGCCTGGACCCAACGAAAAGCAGATTGTATTTAACAGCATGTTAGTACAAGTTTTACCGCCTGTGCTAATTTTGCCTTTTCGACGCTCTGCCCAGCATTTGCTGCTTTGTTTTCCCCCTTCTCTCCAGGAAGAGACAACGTTAATTACCCCATTAACACCGAATCCATCCTAACGTCTAATCAAAACAGAGAATGACATTTTTGCCGAGTTGAAAACACATTTGAAGCGTGCTGAGCACCGTATAAAAGCGGGAGCTGAGGTTTCCCACGGAGGCCGGGCGGCGTTTTCCCTAGCCGCCGCTGATTTTCAAGGCCGGCCCGCGGTTAGGTGCCCCACTTCCGCCAGAAGTCAGCAGAAAGAAGCATATAGCTGCAACGTACGCCTCAAAGAAAGTCTTTTTTGCTTCTTGGGACCCCTTTCGTAATTCAGAAATAACACTTAAATCGCCTTTGCGGCTAGGCTTTGATACATTTTTTTTTTATAGAAATACAAATTGGCCTTCCTCCTCGCATGCCAGTCAGTACTCCAGCGATTAGGAAGGGTGCAAATTCAGGTGCTCATCTTCCTCGCAACCCCTAACCCTTAACAGCTCCTGCTGA